TTGCCAGGCAGGCATGGTGTCATTGAGCTACATCCCCAGCCCAGCCCTAAATGTGGTTTTTGATTGTTTTTGTTGCTGCTGTTTTTGTGGTGCTGGGGATCAACCACAGGCCTCCTGCATACCGGCCAAGTATTGCATTTGTGAGTTACTGCCACAACCCTTTTCGAAAATATTTATTTTGAGGCAGGGTCTCCGTAAAGGGCCCAGGTTGGGCTTGAACATGCAATCCTCTTGTCTCAGCCTCCCAAACAGCTGGGATTACAGGCAAGTGCCAGTGTGCCCACCTCAGCCTGTTTTTTTGTTTGTTTGTTTGGTCCCGGGGATCAAACTTCGGACCTTGTGCTTTCAAGGCAGACGGCAGAACCACTGAGCTAAATCCCCAGCCAGAGCCTGTTTGTTTTTAATGTAATGTAAGTTTCAAAATCCACAGTGTACAACAGGGTAAAGTAAAATTTCTAGCCAGGCCCAATAGCCCATGCTATAATCCCAGCATTTGGGAGGCCGAGGAAGGAGGATGGCAAATTTGAGCCTACATTAGCCATTTAGTGATTTAGCAAGACCCCGCCTCAAAAACAAACAAAAAAAGGAGCTGTTGATAAAGCTCAGTGCAAAGGCCCTGGGTTCAATCCTCAGTAGTGCAAAGTAAAATAAAATAATTAAAAATAAGCCTATAGTCTCAGCATTCTGGGAGGATGAGGCAGAAGGGTCCCAAGTTTGAGGCCAGAATGGGCAATTTAGTGATTTCGCAAGACCGTGTGTTTTTTGTTGTTTTTTTGTTTGGTACTGGAGATCAAACTCGGGACCTTGTGCTTAAGACTGTGTCTTTTTATTTTAAAAAATTAGGGGCCGGGGATTTAGCTCAGTGGTTTCAACGCCTGCTGTGTAAGCGCAAGGACCCGAGTTCGATCCCCAGTACCAAAAAAAAAAAAAATTAAAAGAAAGGGGCTGGGGATTTAGCTTAATGGTTCCACTGTCTGCCTCAAAAGTGCAAGGTCCTGAGTTCAATCCTCAGTATCAAAAAAACAAAACCAAAAAAAAAAAACAAATTAAAAGAACTGGGGCCAGGTGCAGTGGCACACCCTGGAGGCTACATAGTGAGTTCAAGGCCAACCTGGACTACATAGAGAGATTCTGTCTCTAAATCAGTCAATGAAAAGAAAAGGCAAATTCATGGTCAGGCGTGGTGGTGCAACCTGTGATCCCAGCATTTGGGAAGCTGAGACAGAAAGATCTCCACAGAGTTCGAGGTCAGCCTCGGGTACAGAGTGAGTTCAAGGTCAGTCAGAAATACATAGCAAGGACCTTGTCTTAAAAAACAAAACAAAACAAAAAATAAACCCATGATCATCTTATCTTTACCTCCCTTTGGCACAAATAGTAATATACCTACCATGAGGGTTTGGTCTTTATTTTTTTCATTTCATCATAGCTCTAGTTCTCTAGTAATTTACTTTTTTTTTTGGTACCAGGGATTGAACTCAGGACCTTGCCCTTTCGAGGCAGGCGGCAGCACCACTGAGCTAAATCCCTGACCCGATTTACTTTTTTGTTTTGTTTTTTTGAGACAGGGTCTCACTATGCAGTCCAGGCTGGGCTTGAACTCACTATGTAGCCCAGGCTGGCCTGGAACCAGCAGCAATCCTCCTGCCTCAGCCTCCGGAGTGCTGAGACTACAGGAGTGGACCACTGTGCCGTGCCTGGCCTCTAGTAATTAATTTACTTGTTCACAGTGCTAGGGAATGAACTTGGGGCCTTTGCACCGAGCTACATCCCCAGCCCCATTTTTTTTTAGACAGGGTCTCACTATGTTGTCCACACTGGGCTGGAATTTGTGATCAACGTAGCTGGAATCCTAGGCAGGTGCCCGGAGCCCTAGCTCGCTCCTCCATTCTGTTCTTCCGGCTGCAGAGCAGTCCACACACCCTCTGCTGCTCAGAGCCTGAAGGAGCTGCCGGGTTTCCAGTCTCTACTGCGTTCCAGGAATTCCCAGGTCAGAGGCCACGCACCACAGCAGTGCAGGAATCTGCGGACTCAGCTCCAGAAGGGAATGTCTCTCGGGCACAGCTGTGCACTCCCTCACCTTTAGTGGACATAGGCAGTCTGACCGTTAAATGCCCCCCCCAACACAGAGGGCAATCCCAGCGCTCTGGGAGGCTGAGGCAGGAGGATTGCAAAATGGACCCAGCTTGGACAATTTATCAACTTAGTGAGAACTTGACTTAAAATTTAAAAAAAAATTTTTTTTTTTGGTACCGGGGATCAAACTCGGGTCCTTGCGCTTGCGCAGCAGGTGGTGAAACCACTGAGCTAAATCCCCAGCCCAAAATAAAAATTTTTAAAGGGCTAGAGATGTAGTTCAGGGTCAAAGCCCGGCTTCACTCTCCAGAACCCCATCCCTCCACAACACATACAGAATGGAAGGAATAGGGCCAGGGATTTAGCTCAGTGGTGCCGCCGCCTGCCTCACAAGTACAAGGTCCGGAGTTCGATCCCCGGTACCAAAAAAAAAAAAAATCAGAATGGAAGGAATGGAGTGGGCCAGTGTCTGCCAATGTTTTTGGCACCACAGCTCAGCTTCTCATCAGCACTGATGACACTGACTTCTGTCAAAGGTTAATTTTGTTAAAAGCACTATGAATGAGGTATAACACACAGGAAATAAAAAAGGAAAATCTCTGTAATATTTCCGAGGCAGTAAACTCAGGCTGCAGGTGGTGGCTGTCAGCATCTTTTGTTTGGTATTCAAGATTCATTTAAAAGTGTGTCAAGCTGGGCATGGTGGTGCCCACTTGTAATCCCAAGGACCGAGGAGGCTGAGGCAGGAGGATCACCATGAGTTCCAGACCAGCATGGGCTTCATACTGAGTTCAAGGCCAGCCTGAGCTACATAGTAAGACCCTGTCACAAAAAACCAAACCACTTGGGAGGCTGAGGCAGAAGGATTGCAGCAAATTCAAGGCCAGCCTGGGCCACATAGGGAGACCTTGTCTCAAAAAAGAAAAAAAGGTTTAATTCGTTGTCAACTTCTTTTTTTTTCCTGTAGTACTAGACATTGAACCCAAAGCCTTTCCACTGAGCTACAGCCCCAGCCCCTTTTAAACTTTTTAACTTTGAGACAGGTCTCCATAAGTTGCTAAATTCCCTAGATTGATCTCAAATTTGTGATCCTCCTGCCTCAGCCTCCCAAGTGGTGGGATTACAGGTGTGCTAATTGTGCACTTTATGGAAATGAAATCAATGTTTACTATTTTGTGTCTCACGCCTTCCACTAACATTACATTTATGGGCTTCATTCATAGATACCTGTGTAAGCTGTAGTTCATGTATTTTGATTGCTTTATAACATTTCTTTATACACAATGCATTCATTCTGCTGCTGACAGACATTTGTGCTGTTTCTGAATTGGGCCATTATGTATGTTGCTGCTGTGAACCCTGTGCACATTTATCACATGTGGGTGCACCTGTGCACGTTTTTGTGAGAGACACAGCTGGGAGTGGGGTGCTGGGCTGCCAAGTGTGCATGGTCTCAACTTGGGGTAACTGGCAGGCTCACAGCTATCCAAGTTGGGGTACTCGGCCTGCCACTGGCTGCTGGGAATGCTCTGCTTGACTTTAAATTGAAAATCCTCTGCCTCAATTGGGGTGTGTTGGTCCATGCCTGTAATCTCAACACTCAGGAGGCTGAGGCAGGAGGATTACAACTTGAAGGCCAGTGGGCTACACAGCCTAGATCCTATCTCAGACAGGAAGCTGACCCAGGAGACTTGCTGTGGGTTCGAGGCCAACCTGAGCTACATAGAAAGGTTCAGTCTCAAAAAAAGGAAAAAATGAAACAGAACAAACAAACCAGCGGGGCATGGTGATGCACACCTGTAATCCCAGCACCTTGGAAGGTGGAGGCAGGAGCACAGCAAATGTAGCCATTTAGTGAGATCCTGTCTCAAAATTTAAAAAAATTTTTTTTTGGTTCCAGGGATTGAACTCAGGACTTTGCAGCTGTGAGGCAGGCACGGCACCACTGAGCTAAATCCCCAGCCCTCAAAATTCAAAATTAACAAAATGAAAAACAGGCCAGCGAAAAGGTCTAGGTTAGGGTTTCATCCCCAGTGAAGCCAGAAACAAAAGAAGAAAAGACCTCCAGGGCTGTTCCTGTGGCATCTGCACCGCGAGGAGCCTCCTGCATGCCAGGCCCGCTGCCTCTACACACCCCAGCTACCCAGGCCTGGGGACTGAATTTGGGGCCTGACACGTGCAGAGCAGAGTCGCAGCCCCACAGTGAGCAACACCCAGCCTTTTGCTCAGTGTCATGGCCTGATAAGCTGCCGGAGTCACCAGGCTTGGGACTCCCAGACCATTTGTCATCTAGAGCTGGAGCTCAGTGGCAGAGCAGGTGTGAGGCCTGGGCTCAATCCTCAGCAGGGCCAAAAAAATGTTCTTTTAACTCACAACTTCTATCTTTTTGTTTTGAGACAGTGTCTCACTATGTATTCCAGGCTGGCCTCAAACTTGGGAGTGATCCTCTTGCCTCAGCCTCCCAAGTGCTAAGATGACAAGGGTGTGTGTGCACCACATCAGTTACTTCTCCTGTTTTCTACAATCAGTAGAGAATGAGTGGCGGCTGAGATGGGGTCGGACAGACCCGGGAGAGTGGGAGGACGGCTGGAGAAGGTTCCAGGCTGAGGGGAGGCAAGGCACAGCTAGTTTGGGAGCCATAGGGACAAAAAAAGAAGCTGAGCTCTCGTGGGGCGGAATAGGCCAGGGAGGTCAAAGGGACAGGGACTGAGGACAAGACGGGAGTTCGGAGGCTCCAAGATGTTCCCTGCAAAGGCAAGCGGGCCCGGCAGGGTCGCAGGGTGTGTCCCGGCCTCTGTGGTGCAAATGGTGCAAATGGCCCCTCCAGGCAGGGAGGCCGCGAGCCGATTTAAACCCCCGGCACCTGGGCCCGCCTCTGTTCCGGAGCTGCTTCCTGTGGCCCGACGACCCTGGGCTGGAGCTAGGACTTCCCTCCTGTCATGGCCCCCAAGCGCCAGTCCCCGCTCACCCCTCCGACCAAGAAGCCCCAACAGTCTCCAGCCCCCAAGTCCAAGGCGGCATCCGCCTCTCCGGACCTGCCCAAGGGAGGTGAGTGCTTGCGCTACATGCTACTGGGGATAGGATTTGAAAGGACTGACTTTGTGATTTTTCTCCCAGTGTGTCTCGAGATGTGACCCAAACTCCCGAGTGCTTCGGAGGCTTCATTGGGTGGATTGGGACGGTGGGAAGAAAGACCTAGAAAGTCTGGGTCAGCCCAGCTCCTTCCAGGGGCCCTTAAGTTTTCTGTTGTTGTTGTTGTTGGTTTTGTTTTGCTTTTTGAGAGAGGGTTTCACTAGCCCAGGCTGATCTCCAGCTCATGGCGCTCCTCCTGCCTCAGCCTCCCCAGCACTGGGATGACCTGCGTGCGCCACCACGGCCATCTTTGGGGCGCTCAGTCGTGGCCAGTGGTACCACCAGGCAGCCTGAGGCCTCCCCCTCACCCCTGTACGCCTTGCCAGCTTCCCCAGGCTTTGAGGGTCTGCTTCTCCCAAACGCCATCTCCCACCCGCCCATCTCCCCGTTTCTTCGTGCTGCTGCCGCGGGCCCACAACTCTGGCCAGAACTGCAGCCGCCTCCTCTTTTGCTCCAGGCCTCTTCCTCCCACCCTGAGCAGAGCCGGTCACGTGACCGACTCCCGGCTTCATTGCTCCCCGGCTTCATTGCTCCCCGGCTTCCCCGTCGACCTCCAGGTATAGACCGAGACTTCCGGGCTCTGCCCCCCCCCTCCCCCGCCTCGGCGGGCTGCGGCTCCTACAGCCCCGCTCCCGGAACCTCCCTGCCGGGGCTCCAGGACTTCTCTTCCTCCACCAGGGGGCTCTCTCCTGCTCGGAGGGGGGGGGATGGGGATGTCTTTCTGTGCTAGGGATTCATATTGAACTACATTTCAAGCTCTTTTTATTCTTTTTTTTTTTTGCGGTACCGGGGATCGAACTCAGGACCTTGCGCTTATGAGGCAGGCACAGCGCCACTGAGCTAAATCCCTGGCCCCTATTTTTTTTTTTTTTTTTTTTTACGTAGTCCAGGCTGGCCTCAAACTCTCAGTGATCCTCCTGCCTCAGCCTCCTGAATGCTGGGATTACAGGCGTGGAGCACCATGCAGCCCTTTTTAGTCTATTGTTTAATTTTATTTTTTATTATTTTTTGTCCAACTGGGAATTGAACCCAGAGCCTTCAAAGTTAGCTACGTTCCTAGCACTTCTTTTTTTTTTGTACCAGGGATGGAACTCAGGACCTTGCACTTGTGAGGCAGGCACAGCGCCACTGAGCTAAATCCCCAGCCCCCTACTTTTAGTTTTAAATTTTGAGACAGGGTCTCTATATAAGTTGCCCAACCGGGCCTCATATTTATGATCCTCCTCCCTCAGCCTTCTGAGAAGTTGAAATTTCAAGTGTACCTCACTACATCTGGGTGACAAATCTTTGTTTTTTTCCAGACAGGGTCTGACTATGTAGTTCAGGCTGGCCTTGAGCTCACTGTGTAGCCCATCGTGGTTTCAAACTCTTGGTTATCTTCCTGCCTCAGCCTCCTGAGTGCTGGAATTACAGGCGTGTCCAGGCATGCTGAGTTTACAAAGTCACTTTTGCAGACCTTGTCTTCTGAGCCTCCACCCCTTCGCAGAGGAGCCCCCTCTTCCCTGGCAGCATTCAGAATCACCCTGTCCTGGCCCTTGATGGCAGTTTTCTGTCTGGCCCTGCTCCCCTGACACCAGGTGGTTGAGTGTGGATAGACACACAGCTAGCTAGCTGCCCTGGGAGCTCCCCCTGACAGTGGGGGTGTGGCCTGGCCTCCTCAGGTCGGCCTTGGCTAGGCACAAGGCAGGGCAGCCAGCAACTAAGGAAGGAGCGCTGGGTTAGGAATCCACCTATGGGGCTTCCGGTCCCTTGCCTTCCACATGGGAAGCAGAGGCCTCCTGTGGACTGGTGGCTCCTTGTGGCACTGCCAGGGTGTGGGGCCCACCCTGCACCTTTCCTCTCCTGTAAAATGGGTCAGCGGTTCCAATTTCTCACTTGTTGAGACTTGACCCCTAAGTAAAAGGGACAGCGACTGGTGGATTCGATTGGGCAGTGAATTCCTCTCCTCAGGAATGCCGGGTGTGCCCTCCTGGCTCCTTCTGATTGGCTTTCTGGGAGAAATAACCAGAGCTGGAGGGTGCAGCCTCAGGTTCTCCGGGGTTCCCCTCCAAGTTCTCCATCGTTGGGACAGCAGCGGGGGGGGGGGGGTGAGGGTCCCCATTTTACAGGTCACAAAAAAGCTCACAGAGATGTGGGGCAGCATTCAAGGCTCCCAGAGCTCAGATTTCTAGCCTGCACCTCAGCCGGGCTTGCTGGCTGTGGGGTTTTCTCCACTTCAAGGAAGACAGGAAGTGGGAGAGGGAGTGAGTAGAAGCCGAGGAGAGAATGGGGAGCTGCTCCTGCTGGACTGGGGCAGAGCCACATTGCTCAGAGGACACAGAGCCCCTCCCTTGTTTACTGAAATGCCTGCCCTTTCGCTTTCTCTTTCTCTGCAGTGCTTTGCTGAGAAGGAAGTGCTGTGTGGGGAGGGTCAGGAAGGGGAGCTGGGGGTTCTGGAGCCTCTAGGAGGGTGGGGGATATCAGGGCCCTGGCTCCCTGTGGATGCTCGGGAAGCAAGCGGCCCAGGCTTCTGGTACCACCCTGTGAAGCGGGCTTTGTGAATGCATAGAGCAGCAGTGATTTCCACACTAAGTCTCAGCCTAGTAGTGGCCCATTGGGCTGTTACTTGCATTTTTTTTTTTTTGTACCGGGATCGAACTTGGGACCTTGGACTTTCAAGGCAGGCACCAGAACCACTGAGCTAAATCCCCGGCCCTACTTGCATTTTTTTAAAAAAAGTAGAAAATTAGAGTCACATCTCCCTTAGGGTATTGTTCTATGTGCAGGCCTGTACCAACTCACATGTCAAATGTATGTCACCTATGTATTTTTGTTCGGTTTTTTTTTTTTTTTGGTACCGGGGATTGCACTCGGGTCCTTGTGCTTGCGAGGCAGGCAGCAGAACCACTGAGCTAAATCCCCGGCCCTTTGTTCTGTTTTTTTGAGACAAGGTCTCGCTATGTAGCCTAGGCTGGCCTTGAATTCGTAGCCATCCTCCTGCCTCAGGCTCCTGAGTGCTGCCTGGGTTACAGACGTGTACTACCATGCCTCGCTAAATGTATGCCTTACTGTGGGTTTTTTTAAAAAAAAAACACACAAAAAACAGAAGGGCTAACAGTTTGGCTCGGTGGAAGAGAGCTTGCCTAGCATGCAGGAGGACCTTGGTTCAATCCTTAGAACTGCAAAGTAAATAAATACATATAAAAATTGAAGTTGAGTATGGTGGCGCTTGGGAGGCTGAGGCAGCAGGATTACTGATAGTTCGAGGTCACCCTGGGCTACATAATGAGCTCAAGGCCAGCCTGAACTCTACCCAGCAAGACCCCCGTCTCAAAAATAAATTGCATACCACTCCATTAGGGCAACCGCTTTATCTGCCAACCTTCTTTAGAATCTTGGTTCTGCCACTTGTAGAAAAGTTCAGTTTGAGGCTAGGGATGACGTGAGATGAGAAACATTAAAACTCATCTGCTATTTTGCAAGGATTAAGTGATTTGCAAGGACCAGGGATTTAGCTCAATGGTGTCGCTGCCGCCGCCTGCCTCGAAAGCCCAAGGTCCTGAGTTTGATCCCCGGTCCCCCCCCCCCCAAGCAAGGAACTGCATGTGGTTCTCATAGCCTGCGGCCCGGTGTGTGATCAGTCGTGTGGCAGAGCAGAGGCTGCGCCCAGAGCTGGTTGTGGAATTTGCCACTCGGTTGGGTGACGTCACAGCACTAGCCCGGTGAAGGCGTTTACATCAATGAAAGTCACAAACGCTACAAGTCGGGCTTGTTTATTTTCCCTTTCCCCCCAGAGCGGATTGTCAAACATTTACCGATGGCGCTAAGTCTTTAAAAGAGCCTGTCCAGTTGGCAGAGATAAAAACTGGGCTGCATGCAACTGAGAATCAGGTTTACTGGGCAGGATTAGATGAATTTCTGGGTTTGGAGAGCTGTAAGACCTTTGTATTCTCTAACCATGAACTGTGAGCCATTTGCTTAACATGTATCGATCACCGACCGTGGTCTGTCTTGAACATTAAGAGCGCTGCTTTAGCTTTAAGTGCCCATAGTAAAACTTGAGCACAGGGAGGCAGATAACCCAGCCCCAAGTTCTGGTTGCGAACCCCCGGGGGAGATGGAGGCTTCTTCTGGTCCGAGCCTGGGGCCCTGCAGGACAAAGTAGGGCCTGGCGCATCTCCATTTCCTGGAAAGCATTATCTAAGCAGATGCCCTGGCCCTACTCCGAGGCTCAGGGGTTGGCCTCTAAAGCACTCCTCGTAATCTCGGATTCCCCGGGCACCGAACCTAACGCCACGTGCTTCCGTGAGAGCGCCTGTGCGACTCCGGGGCGCTGGAGTCCCTCTGCGGGTGGGCGTGGTGCCCGCCCGCCTGCCTGCAGGGGACTTCCATCCACTTCGCCGTGGACTTGTTGGAGCACGACAGCGCCTGTAATTGCCCAACCGAGGCGGGTCCGGGGGGAAAGGTGACTTGCTCAAGGGTCCCCAGCCTCCTCCTGAGCAGGGCTTGGTCTAGAACCCAGCGATGGCCCCGCCAGGGGCGCTCGGCTTCGGGCTTTGTAGAGCAGCCTCAGTCTGAGCGCCTACGGCGGGTTCCCAGTCCGGAATAGGATGGCAGTGCTGCCTTCTTTATCCCGCGAAGAGGGAGGCACCCGGATGCGAGGGCGGGCAACTGAGGCCTGCACTTTCGGGGGCTACAGGCGCCCCTCTCGCGCTCCCCGCGCCGCCCCGCGGAGAAGGGAAGCCGCTCCGCCACCACGTGACGTGCGGACTGAGGAAAGGAGTGGCCGTGCGCTGCCGTGCGAGGCCCCGCCCCTCGGCCGCCGCGCGCCAATGTCCCGGGTCGGACTGGAGAAGGGGAGGGGGGAGGGGAGCGCGGCGCGGGGGGCCGGCCCGTGCGTCGCGGCGTTCCTTCCTCCCGCCTCTTCGCCAGGCCCTGTGTCTCCTCGCCGCGGCTCCGCCCCTTCGTCCCGGCCCCCCCAGCCAATGGCGAGGCGGCGCGAGCCTCTCCGACCGGGGGCGGGGCGTACGCGCTGGCCGGGCGCGCCTGCGCCTTGTGGCTCGCCCCTCGCCGGGAGGAGGAGGTGGAGGAGGAGGCGGCTTGGGGAGAGCGAGCAGCGAGCCGGAGCGCGGAGCGCAAGTGAGGGAGCTGAACCGCTCGCCCGCC